GTTGGAGCAGAGAAACTCCTTATTGTTATTATCGAGAGGAGTCAGCCCATAGTCTCCGGAGATTACACTCTGACTTGAAGAGCTCTATCACATTCCTTGTTGTGTCAAATCTAAATAAATTTAGACACAGTTGACTTCCCTATCGCTATGGCCAGGTTTATGCGCTCAAGATGACGTTGGTTGTTGTAGTAGATCAACCCGGTGTCTCCGAGCATTACTATCTGCTTACTTAATTATTATATTAATATCTAGATTGGCTCATAATTCCCTTTCTATTTCCTTACAAAGGGGTTTTACTTTCACACAGTTCCCCACAATACTCACAATTTGTAGATTCTTTAATTTTCATTTTGTGCAATAGTATATTCGCGGGGAAGTTGTTAAGAAGTATCTTCCATGAAATGGTCTTTAGACGAGTTTCCGACAGATCGTGCACAATGTCCAGGTGGGTTATTTTTAATTGTAAGTTTAACGTTGCATTTTCTAACCCAAACATTTAAGCATCGAGGTGGGGTCTGTTTCTTTATTTCATCATACATAGTTTTTCGTCCTATATTTTTGAAGAAAAACGTATCTGTCACAAGTGAAGGTGTGATACCAGGGACAGTTTTTATTGCATTTATTAATATGTTGCGATCTAAAAGACAGCGGCCATATAGGCCAAATCTTCGTGCGTATGCATCTAGATTTAAAACTCGCCTTCCAACCGTTATGTCATGTACTGTTATTATTCCTCTTTTTACACAGGAAGGAAGAAGGAATATCTCACTCATACATTTTATATGAGTATTATTACAAAGAGGGTCACTCCTTCTTGGAATATCATGTGAACAGTTAATGTCTGCATACTGTAAACATTTTGTGAGGACCTCTCGTCAGAATGGACTAGGGATGGTATTCATTCTCTTAAAGTTCTTGACGGAGACCTTACTCTTAAAGAATTGTAAGCCCCCAAGATCCCCAAAGAAAGACTTGATGACTATGCCCTCCATTGTTTTTGTCCTGGTTTAGGAAGCGCTTCTGCCCATGCCAAAAGTAATGAATCTTGGTATTATGTCAATCATCCTTATTCCCCCATTTTCGTAATCATTACAAAGAACCTTGCGCTTCACCTTTTCACAATATGTTTTTCTATAATTGAATCGGATTTTTTCCACAAAAACCTAAAAAATATCTTATTTACTTATTTGTTCTAATACATTTTTGGTAAGGAAATGCTTAGCATTATAAAATGGAACAATGTTATTCCAAAAGTCGTTAACAAATACAATTTTACCAAAAATGGTTACATCACGCCGTGACCATCTTCCCAGTGCTCTGAGTAGGTTGTCTACCTTGACGGTCCAATTTTTGTCTATTTCTGACGCTGGTTTATGATTGCTGAAGCACAAATCCGAGAATTTTCGTACAATCTGTGAACTGTAATTCTATACCTGAAGTGTCAATGTGCTGCCCATT